CCCAGTTCTTCACATTGAGCCCATGGGATAACAGGGAACATCAGACACTATTGCTGAGAGTGAACTGAGGGGCTCTGGATGTCACAGGAGAGACCTGAACACATCGTCTGTCACTCCATCCACACCAGGCAGCTGTCTTCACGCTACAGAACAGGAGTCATGAACAATCACAGTGAGGACAACATCCCAACAACCCTCCACTCACTTAAACTTGATTCTGGGAGTTCTGAAATCCAATCATGTACAATTTGTTCCTCCCCAGATCAGTCCCAAGAGTTTCACCTTTACAGTTTTGGAGAGACACATCAGAGCTCTTGTCACTGTCCGTGTCTAGGGTAAAAATATATGTATTCATGGGAAGGTAAAAATTTGGCCACTAGAAGAGTTGCTGGAGGAGCTATTATGTGTTACCAGAGCTCCCCAAATACACCAGCTTCACCCCACAGGCCTCAGGGACAATCCTGCCCACCACTCTTACCTGAAGCTGGAGCATAGTTGCCTCCTTTTCCACCTGTGAGAAGAAAAGCTGTGAGAGACCAGGGAAGTCCCCGACCCTAGGAAGCTACCAGAACTGACAGCAGACCCAGCTTAGAGACAGGAGCAATGAGGGGTGTTGATGTGTTTCCCATTAATGAAGCAGAGATTCTTCTAAAAGGGACGAGAGAGAACTCAGACCCTGCCCTTTCCTACCTGTGTTTCTCCTCCTCTTCCTCACAACAGCCACCACAGCTCCAATGGTCACAGCTCCAAGGAGAACCAGAACAGCAATGACTGCCATGATGGGGAACTGAGGAGGCTCTGGGAAGGGAAGGACAGGAAGGGAAGGTGAGGGTCATGACTCCAGCTCTCACCCCTGACCCTGCTCAGGGTCCGCAGAAGGCCTCAGCTTTCCCTGACCCCAGCTCTGCACCCTCTCCCTCCTTACCCCATCTCAGAGTGAGGGGCTCAGGCAGCCCCTCATGGTATACATGGCATGTGTATTTGTGCTCCTCCCCAGAAGGCACCACCAGAGATGCCCACTTCTGGAAGGTTCCATCTCCAGAAGGTCTGGTCTCCACCAGCTCCATGTCCTGAGTCTGTTCCTCCTCCTCCCTCTGCCAGGTCAGGGTGATGTCAGCAGGGTAGAAGCCCAGGGCCCAGCACCTCAGGGTGACATCACCATTAGGTCCAGGATGATGGGTCACATGTGTCTTTGGGGGATCTGTGTGGAAGATTTAAGAAATCCCACAATTAACAAGATAAACTGAAATCTGTAAAGACAAAGTTAAATCAATGATAACACTGAACTATGTCACTATTTGAACACTTCTGTCGTCACACTAGTGACCTGCAGGTAGAGCTGGTCCCCTCATCACAGAACTGCACAGTTTCCTGAGGGACCCAGAAACTAAGAGGGAATCTATATAAGCCAGCAGGTCAACATGATCTTATGTGACTTTCAATAGAATAAGTGAGGTAGAAAAAGGATGAAGGAATGGAAAATAATCGATTTATTTTGTGATTAAACTCCTACAGGAATAAGAAATTAAGATGATCGGGCTACATGAAGGGCGCCACCAACTCCTGCTGCCACCATTGGGGAACAAACACTGTGTCCACCTTGCTGACCAGTTTAACTGTGAATCCAAGTGAACAGCCATCACCAAACTGTGTGGAACAATTGTTGTGAACCTGTGAAACTCATCCAGAGAAAATGACTTCCTAACCTTTGCCTCTGGGGGACAAGATACCAGGTATTGTCACCCAGGATCCCTGAAGTGTGCTGTGGAGCCCAGTGCAGCACACTGGGACACAGCAGTGCTCACAGGGTGTGTGGATCTTTCCTGTCACTCCAGTTCTGGAGTTGCAGAAGACCCTGTCTCTGAGGAAGTTCAGTTCCTAATTCACAATGGCAACACTGTAACTTGTTGGGGCTGAAGGAGAGCAGGGGGCTCTGGACCGTTAATTCTGGCAGAAAATAGTCTAAATTCACAGTAATTTTTCTCTTCTAAAGGGAACCCTATCTTAACTTGTCTCATTATCCAGAGTGTCAGTCCCGAATGGCACCTGTGGAGTCTGATACACATGATAATAAAAGGGGACAGAGAATCAAGACCTCCCCAGTGAGGAAGAGAAACTCACTAAAAGCAAAATGACAACTTCAAAAAAAGCAAGAAAGAAAAGAAAAAAAAACCCTACAATTTAGTATTTGTCTAAGGCACCCCATAAGTTCCCACTTGACCATTCTAGGAAAAGATAGAATTGGGGTGTGGCAGGCATGTGAACCTCACACAGGCATCTAAGAGAATTTATTCTTTGAAAAGTTCTAGACACCGGGGAACCAGCCTAGGCATGGAGCCCAGTCTCCCATCAGGTAAGATACTGCTCTGTCCTGGTGTTGAAGGGCTGACACACTCAGATGACAGGAGTCAGAGTCCACACACTGGGTGTGGACACAGAACCCGGCCTAGGAGAGGCCATGGCTGCAGCTGACAGAGGCTCCAGACTGAAGGAGCCACTGTTGGTATGTCGGGATCCTCTCTCCTCCTTCCTGAGACAGATGTGGAACTGTCTAGGGAGA